AATTAAATGTTTTATTCAAAACCCATTTCTAATTAAAATAAAAAATCAATCAAAAAATCAATTAAAAATTATGAATAATTTAAAACCAATTTTTTATTTCTATATCCTAACTTATCAATTAGTCTTGGCCATCTCACCACAACCCATCAAATGCAAGTAAATGTAAGTTAGTCAACTCTAAAGCAATCCCAAAAACAAAGCCTCTAACCCTTCAATACTACAATTCCCATAAACCCCTTGCTCTATCAGCATCTAATTATCTTAAATTTACAGAATAATGTCAGTCCTTGATTCCCAACACAACTCCCATCAAACCCCAGTGATGCCCAGAGCTTCCAAAATGCCATTTTTAATGAAATAGTATTTGCCAAGCCTATGTAAAATTGTCATAACATCACATATTTTGTTAGGATGATTTTGTGAACTAGCCTGATATCTGATCCGATCGTCTCGTCACACCTTGTCACGTGACGCACGTCAGTCACACGTTAGCCCCTCCTCTCTCCTGTCGTATCGTATCGCTCCTCTCATATGACAGGAAAACAGAGACACAGAATCACATTTTAGTAGTCAATGCAATCACTGAGTTATTTCAACCATATTCAATATTCCTTCGTTCTATTATTCCCTCCAAGACTAACCTCAGAACTAAATAGATCGCTCAAAAACATTTTTATTTTATTTTAATCCGTCATTTAATTCAATTCATTATACTTCGCCAACATATATTTAATTTATAAATTCAATAGGTCACAAAACAAGTTTCATCTTTAACCATCCGCCGTTTAAACTAGAATACTCGTGTTAAAATCTCTCCTCTTTGTCTGTGTCCATTTCCCTTGCAGGGTAACGCCAAATGGGACCTATGACCTTAACCCACCATTTTGTTTTGTAGGCCTAGCCCAACCGCATGTTGTAGTTTTAGCCCCGTAAAATCAAGCGCATGCGCACATCCATTTAAAAATACTTCTTCACCGTGGAAGGAGATTTTCTACTCCCTCCTAGTCAAACAACATTTAACAGCGCTCACAAAACATATAACCTGACTCACACACACAGAGACAAATTTAAGAGACTTTAATCCATCGCAATGGAGTCTCTAAGGATACATTAGCATGTAGCACACAACACAATTAGCATTAGCCACGATGTACCATGTAGCATGAAACACACTCCCATTTAGCATTAACATTAGCCTTAGCCTTTAGCTAACTGCGGCCTACCCAGCCCTAAGTAACCTGCACTGCCCTATCAATTTTAAACATATTTATCCTACCGTTTTTACTACCGGGACTAATGAGCATTACACCGAGAAATCAAACCCAATCAGACATCCCGTCGGACGAAAGACAAATCATAATCACAATCAGATAAACCTCATTAATCCGAGCTCTCTTTAAAAAAAAAAAAACACCGTCCACCCATTCTATCGTGCAAACGGATTTGCCGGCCCAACATCTAAAATGGCCCCCCCTGGAGGTCTTAAAGCGGTACAGTGCCCTAAAGAATGCGCATATCCGCCTTAATTGTACACTTCAATACTTAAATCCTACCGTTTAATGCTCAAAAAACTTCCAATTATCTGCCGTTTCCAATGGAATAAATTTTAACAGACTCTAGTCACCAGCAATAACGCCACCCGAGGCAAGGTCGCAATGGTACATCTCTCCAGTGTACACAAGTCGTATCCAATCTAACAAACTCTGAAGCGGTAAGAAAAACTCACCCTTTTTGGCCATGCTTCAAAGCGAGTTAGCCTGGCGGTTGACTGAAACAAAGAGGAGACGCAAACCCAGCCCCACGTTGGGCGCCATTATGTCGTATCGGGTGAATGGTGGCCATTATTGCTGTCAACAAAGAGTCCGTCTATGCTGCATCGTGTTAGAGGCTTTTATTAAAATCACGAGGTTACAGCATAAATGACAGGTGACATGACACCCGGAGAGCGACGCCTCAGAATGGCTGCTCGTTCTCCCTTTCTTCTTCGTTTTCCCCCCTATTTATGAACACTGATGCTCCCTCTTCTGGCCAATCACCAGTCTCCCCTGTCTACAACACACTTCCGGTCTGTGGTATGTGACGTTACACTAAAACATATACTAACATAAACAACATTCCATTTCTTCATGAAAAACATTTAAGAAAGACATAATCTTCATATACGATATTCATTAAAAATCCTACAATGTGATTTTCTGGATTTTTTTTTCTCAATTTGTCTGTCATAGTTGACTTGTACCTATGATGAAAATTACAGGCCTCTCTCATCTTTTTAAGTGGGAGAACTTGCACAATTGGTGGCTGACTAAATACTTTTTCCCCCCACTGTATCAATTAAAATGATGTTTTTGGTGTGTATTCTTTATGTAATGCAAACTTGAGCTGATTCAGCCTTTTGAAATGAGTGATGATCCTATCAATTCTTTCTTATCTATGTTTTGAAGTTACTGTATGTAGCTTACTGCATCTAGTATGAAACTGGTATGACGTCACCAGAGATAGTAATGTAGGCTGTTGTAACCACATCCTATCAGTCAGATGCAGCCCCATGTATACTGATCCAAAATATGCAACATGCAATAATTTCAAAGATATTACAGTTCATATAAGGAAATCAGTCAATTGAAATAAATTCATTATGCCCTAATCTATGGATTTTACATGACTGGGCAGGGGTGCAGCCATGGGTGGGCATGGGAGGGCATAGGCCCACCCACTTGGTAGCCAGGCCCAGCCAATCAGAATGAGTTTTTCCCCACAAAAGGGCTTTACTACAGACAGAAATAATCATTTTTTATTTCAGCTCATGAAACACGGGACCAACACTTTACATGTTGCGTTTATATTTTTGTTCAGTACACTGTAGTTCAGCTCAGCTTTCACCCTTTTAGTGTTAGACAGAGACATCAACTGACTAGTGTTGTCAGCCAAGCTATTCATTCTGTACGTGCCAGTTCAATGTGGACCCTAAGAGAGACAATTGACAGGGCAAGGAGAAAAACATTACATAATGACCATGTTGAGACCCAGACCAGATATCTGAATGAATCATTGAAGGTCATCTTGACTCATTGGAGGACAACTACAGTGTAATAATAATGTAAATTACTTTACATTGAGGAGTACTTTACATTGAGGAGTACTTTACATTGAGGAGTACTTTACATTGAGAAGTACTTTGCATTGAGGAATTTTGAGGACTTCCCTTCCGTCAGTCCAGGGTTGAGGTTCTATGAGACATCACAAGAAAGTAGGTGTAATGTTGTTGGTGCTGCAGCCTCGTTGAAACAACGTTTACACGATGAGCTGTCACAAAATCTCTTGAGACTGCACTTTTGCAGTACATACATTCTTCTCTTACAGTATCTCGCACCCCCTTGTTTTTTTCCTCGTGAGAATGTCTTCTGGGTCGTTCCATATGATTTCGTTCACTTTCTGACTGCACCCCTTTTGAGTTTAACAAAATGTTTCATACATGTTTGCCCATGGTGGAAGTGGTCAGAAAGTGACTTTTTGGACCTGAATGCCAAAACATTCAGGAGATAGAGGTACTCAAAGTTGACCCATGTTTTACAGTTTGACAACCCTGTTTGTTAGCTTTCAAAGCGATGAAGACATGGATGTCTCATGGTAGGGTGGGGGTATGCAAAATGGGTAAACTTGGAATGTTTTGGCATTCAGGTCCAAAAAGTCACCTTCTGAGCCCTTACACTATGGCCAAACATGTATGGAAGGTTTCGTTCAAATTAAAGGAGTGCAGTCAGAAAGTGATGGAAATCACATGGAATGACCCTTCTTTTGAATTGACATACAGGCCCATACTTCAGAATCAGCAATGTTACAGCTAAACAGGAAATGACTGGCTATGACTGTGACACATAATATAATAATAATAATAATAATAATAATATGCCATTTAGCAGACGCTTTTATCCAAAGCGACTTACAGTCATGTGTACATACATTTTTACGTATGGGTGGTCCCGGGGATCAAACCCACTACCCTGGCGTTACAAGTGCCATGCTCTACCAATTGAGCTACAGAGGACCACATATCTAGCATATAAAGCATGTTTGTTTTTTCAGAAATTTAAGTATGTGAAAATGTGCTTAGAAATATGATGGATTGAATTCAGTGTAAAAGTGAAAAAGTTACTTGGCCAGTTTGTGGTGAAGGTTTTGACTATTGACCTTTGATCAAGTTAGTCAACATCATGGTCATGTCGGTAAGTTAGCGTAACCCATGTTGTATTCCTGTAAACGGGGGTCTTGACTTCCTCTCTGCTTGCAGTTTCGACCACCCGCTGCACCAACACACGTGCACAAAGACAGGAAGTGTCTTAGTCTCGTCTCAACGCCATCTCCATGCGCACACAAACACACACCACTACCATCACACAAAGACACACACACACACACACTACCACTAGACAAATAACACACACACACACCACTACATACACCATACTCACATCTCTGTACCTACACGGTACACTTCCTGCATTACATAAAAACACTCGGGTCTACAGCGGGAGAAGAAAGTCACAGCTTTAACCAAACTTTCACCACACGTTCATGATGTGTACAATGAAAACAACATGCAACTCCACTGCGGTCTGGTGTTGTGCATGCTTTAGTGACAAACAGTGTGACATTTAGGCCCTTGCCTTTTGACTCATGGAAAGACTGCCTTGCAAGGCTGCAGGCCTGAGTCTCCAGATGTAACGATCCTTAACCTTTTTGTCTCACAGACCAAGCAAGCAATGGCTCCTCTCCCCCTCCCCATCCTCCTCCAAGGATGTTTTGATTAAAACAAACTAGGTCAAACTAAATCTGTCAGCCAACCATCTGAGGGACCAACTCCGCTATTAGGTTGTTGTAGAATGACACTCCACCGGAAAATTATTCTGCATTAACACACATTAGTATAATCGTAATGCAGTCTAACACTTGTGTTAATGAGTCAGTAGGTGGACTTATTGACTGATAGTAAGTCAGGCTTTCAGAATACAGTTTTATTTTTTTAAGGAGAGTGGGTTTCCACTCCTTTTCGTATTTTTTGTGATTTAATGAGAGAGACAGGAGTGAATGGAAGGGAAAAACAGTATTGAGTAAAGAGGTAGACCTGTGATTCGATCCCAGCTAGCTAGTGGGCCATACAGTAAGTTCTGGAAGGCGACAGCATTACCGGACAGACCAACCCCAGCCTGTCCAGTAAATATAAAAAAACAGACTTGTTTTCCTGTAGAGAGATGAGCCCTGCTGATGGGGGTTCTTAAAATGCAAACATCACAAAACTGTTGTGAAAAAGTTGAGATGCCACAGTGACCACAGAAGCAGAACTGTTAGTCTTATGTAGACTATCATTACAGGAACAACATGATCAGTACAGGAACTAAAGCATGCAAAAGTATACAAATAAAATAGTAGTAAAAGTTGCCTGGCACCTGGAAAATAGGTGTAGGCCCAATGCCATCAAATATGTAAACAAAAATATACTGTAAATGTAAACAAAAATATACAATTGAGAATCATTTCAACATTTAAAAGTGGTAAAAAAATATATTGTCAATCTATACAGCAAAATAGAATGTACGGCGAAAAAAATTGACATTCCATGCACAAGTTAAATTGTGGTGGTAATTACAAGACTCAAGTTCTACCTGCTGCATCAGGGTCAAGGACCATAAAAAGCATTCTCCTAGCCTCTGTATGAACAACCATTTACAGTGTGTGATGTCAGTCACATACAATGCTGTGTATACTTAAGTAGCTACAGTATATAGGTAGCTTGCCTTGAGGTTGAATGACTGACATAAGTGTACATCAATGATGCAAGCCCTTGCTACTAAACACTACCTGAGAAGATATCGTTCAAGGTCCTTCGTTGATATCATGTATTACAGTATGTTGACATCATTGTCTCCTAGTCAGCTGACATGGGCCTCCGTTTGGACCCAAAGTAAAGATGGCTGCCGTGCAACATCAGTAACAACCTGTCTGAGGGTGGTGCCCAAAGTAAAGATGGCTGCCATGTAACATCACTAATAACCCATCTAAGGGTGGTGCGCACGTCTGATGGTGGTGCGCATGTCTTCATAGACGTCGCTAGTCCTGACCTGTGTTGGTCTCATCGTTGAACGCCATGCCTTTAACTGGGAAGACAAGAGATATTGGTCAGATATGGTACTATTAGTAGGCTATATTATTAACAACAGACTTCTTTTTTTTTCCAACATTTAGCTGACACTCTTATCCAGAGAAACTTACAGGAGCAATTAGGGTTAAGTGCCTTGCTCAAGGGCACAGCAACACATTTTTCACCTAGTCGGCTCAGGGATTCAAACCAGCGAACTTTCAGTTACTAGCCCAACGCTCTTAACCGCTAGGCTACCTGCCGCCAGTGTCTTTAGAAGGGGGAGGGATCAGAAGTGCTCTTGTGTTTCAGTAAATATATTTTGTATTGAATTGAAATTAATTGAACATACATTAACACAGTGCAAATGTCAAAAATGTACATATATACATACACACACACACACTTGAGTAAGATGAGATGGAATATGCGGGGGCAGAATTTACGCAAGACCCCAGAAGCAGTTCGTTCAGTGGTAGTGTTTGATTATAACACAACTCATGAAATACGATCAGTGTAGATCAAATCAAACACTACCACTGAACATGTCTAGTACAAGGAGATATTTCCTGTCAAATACAGTGGGGGAAAAAAGTATTTAGTCAGCCACCAATTGTGCAAGTTCTCCCACTTAAAAAGATGAGAGAGGCCTGTAATTTTCATCATAGGTACACGTCAACTATGACAGACAAATTGAGGGAAAAAAATCCAGAAAATCACATTGTAGGATTTTTAATGAATTTATTTGCAAATTATGGTGGAAAATAAGTATTTGGTCACCTACAAACAAGCAAGATTTCTGGCTCTCACAGACCTGTGTTGGGTTTTATTTTTCTCATAATTGGATCTGTATGTGATGAATAGCTTGGAAGGAATGCATTAATGAGGAGCACTGTACTGATATGGATTGTTTCACATAACAGGCTGTTGTTATTCATGTAAGGAACGTTAGGGGTAGGACAGATAAGACTTGTATTTCTTACAGATACGAACACTCTCTCTTTGTAGTCTGTGAAACTGTCCTTGAACATGGAGTACAGTGGAATGGTGTCTTTTGGGTGCTGACTCCGCAGGTTATTATCATAGCAACTATGCCTGGCAACAAATGAAATGCCGAGGAGTTGGGACCAACCCCTGCGCCAACGGATTGGCTGAATGGAGTCTGGACCACACTCAGTCCTTTGCTCTGGTTGGCCAACAGAAGAGGTGGAGGCTTTCTGTCAGAGTATTTGAGAAAGAATCTGTAAACAATAATTCTAGTTCTCTGTCTGCCCTGCGTGGTTTTTCAGTGAGCCCGTATACGAACCTTCATACTTATCATATATACATTTTGCATATAATAAATTAAGCTTGGATTGAAGATCTCTTGATTCTTATTCCAATACCAGATTTGAATTACGCAATTTCTAACACCTGTAACTTCTTCTTTAAGAGGCTCCTCTGTCCTCCACTCGTTACCTGTATTAATGGCACCTGTTTGAACTTGTTATCAGTATAAAAGACACCTGTCCACAACCTCAAACAGTCACACTCCAAACTCCACTATGGCCAAGACCAAAGAGCTGTCAAAGGACACCAGAAACAAAATTGTAGTCCTGCACCAGGCTGGGAAGACTGAATCTGCAATAGGTAAGCAGCTTGGTTTGAAGAAATCAACTGTGGGAGCAATTATTAGGAAATGGAAGACATACAAGACCACTGATAATCTCCCTCGATCTGGGGCTCCACGCAAGATCTCACCCCGTGGGGTCAAAATGATCACAAGAACGGTGAGCAAAAATCCCAGAACCACACGGGGGGACCTAGTGAATGACCTGCAGAGAGCTGGGACCAAAGTAACAAAGCCTACCATCAGTAACACACTACGCCGCCAGGGACTCAAATCCTGCAGTGCCAGACGTGTCCCCCTGCTTAAGCCAGTACATGTCCAGGCCCGTCTGAAGTTTGCTAGAGTGCATTTGGATGATCCAGAAGAGGATTGGGAGAATGTCATATGGTCAGATGAAACCAAAATATAACTTTTTGGTAAAAACTCAACTCGTCGTGATTGGAGGACAAAGAATGCTGAGTTGCATCCAAAGAACACCATACCTACTGTGAAGCATGGGGGTGGAAACATCATGCTTTGGGGCTGTTTTTCTGCAAAGGGACCAGGACGACTGATCCGTGTAAAGGAAAGAATGAATGGGGCCATGTATCGTGAGATTTTGAGTGAAAACCTCCTTCCATCATCAAGGGCATTGAAGATGAAACGTGGCTGGGTCTTTCAGCATGACAATGATCCCAAACACACCGCCCGGGCAACGAAGGAGTGGCTTCGTAAGAAGCATTTCAAGGTCCTGGAGTGGCCTAGCCAGTCTCCAGATCTCAACCCCATAGAAAATCTTTGGAGGGAGTTGAAAGTCCGTATTGCCCAGCGACAGCCCCAAAACATCACTGCTCTAGAGGAGATCTGCATGGAGGAATGGGCCAAAATACCAGCAACAGTGTGTGAAAACCTTGTGAAGACTTACAGAAAACGTTTGACCTGTGTCATTGCCAACAAAGGGTATATAACAAAGTATTGAGAAACTTTTGTTATTGACCAAATACTTATTTTCCACCATAATTTGCAAATAAATTCATAAAAAATCCTACAATGTGATTTTCTGGAGAAAAAAAATCTCATTTTGTCTGTCATAGTTGACGTGTACCTATGATGAAAATTACAGGCCTCTCTCATCTTTTTAAGTGGGAGAACTTGCACAATTGGTGGCTGACTAAATACTTTTTTTCCCCACTGTATGTTGTTGCAGTACTGATAATAGAACTTCCCCAATAGATTCCATCAGGTCTACATATATGAGTCAAAGCAAAAGGCTGAAGTTAAAAACTGTGCATTTCCCTACCAAAGACAGTCAGTAGAGACAGTGCTGATGTGGCAATCTTGCCACCCGACACACACACACACAAGCACGAATGAGCACACACACACGTACGCACGCACGCACATGAAAAAATACTATAGTATACTATGATATAAATACTGTAGTATTCACTGTAGTGTTTTTGCTGACTTTAATGTAGTATTCACTGTAGTGTTTTTGTGGACTAAAGTAGTATTTACTGTAGTATTTACAGTTAACTATAGTATAAATACAGTAGTAAAATAACTGAATTATATCCTATAGTATTTACTGTAGTGTTTTTGCGGACTGTAATATACTGTAGTATTTACAGTAGTGTTTCTGCATACTAAAGTAGTATTTACTGTAGTATACTGTAGTATTTACAGTTAACTATAGTATAAATACTGTAATAAATTAACTGTATTATTTACTATAGTATTTAATGTAGTTTTTCCCGGTTTGTATACTGTAGTATACACTGTAGTATTTACTGCAGTGTTTTTGCAGATTGTATACTGTAGTATTTACTGTAGTATTTTAGTTTTATTATCTTTGACATAGAAGTGGAGGCTTTTTCCTTGAGGAAACCTACTGGAGAAATACTAAAAGATAAAATGTTCCATAACCTGTAGGTAGGTAGGACTGGGGTCTGAACAGATAGTTCAGAGCTTCTGTTCTTTTCTATAACCTGGCACAAATTGGGATACGGGGGAGGGGAATTGGCAGGGTATATGCAAATGAAATACTGGAGTATTTACTATCGTTAAAGTCTAGCGTTTTTGCAGATGTAATGTTTTTGCAGACAATACTGTAGTATTTACTAAAGTTTTTTTTTCTTCGGATAATACTGCAGTATCTACTACAGTATTCTACAGTCTACTACAACATGATATAGTAAGTACTGTACATGGTCGAGGGATACTACAGTGTATAGTATTGTACAGTATACTACATAATTCTATAGTAAGTACTGTAGTATTCTATAGTAAACTGTAGTATTTTTTCATGTGGGCACACACACACACACACACTTTACTGTAGTACTTACCCTGGGGATGACCCAGATGAAGAGGATGACCAGACTCAGGAGAAGCACAGAGCCAGCAGTGACAGCTGAGACCAGGACCAGATACCTGGGAATGCCTAGCCCTGAGGACGCACCATTCTGGTCATCTGTGGTACAGCAACACACCAGAGTAGAACAAATTTTTTAATGCAGTTCAGTACATATTATTTAAAATATCCCCAGGGGCAATTCATGTTATAACAGAGATGTTGAAGAATACCATACAACTCAACAAATTGACCAATCTAAACTTCCTATGTTATTTATTGTGTTGTTTTTTAAATTTATTTTCTTATTAGTTATAATATTTTGATATTGAATACTGCACTGTAGGGTAGGGCTTGCAGATTAAGCATTTCACTGTACTTGTGCATGTGACCCAAAAAACATGAACTTGAACATTGAAGGGAATAGTAAGTGCCAAATGGAGGGTTAGGGAGCGAATCAGGACTGGCTGAGACACTCACCATTCACCACCAGCAAAATAGCTCCTTCCCCCTCAGTCTGGGATTTCATAGAAACACGGTACAAACACCAGTAGACCCCAGAGTCTTCTATGGTCAGGTTTGTGATGGTGATGTCCATTTTGTTGAGTCCTCCGTTAGTCGTCAATCTGGTTTGGAACCTTTTATTGATGGTGATTTTTCCTGTTTCCTGGTAAAAGTAGAAGACTTGTATCTCTTTTGTCAGGCGCATAAACACACTCAGGTTTTCTTGGTCTTGTAGAGAGGTGCTGCAGTGGATGGTCATGGTGTCTCCCTTCTGCTTTCGGACCAGTAGTCCATTGTTCCCTTTTATGAGCAGATGGGAGAATGGAAGAAACACACACACCATATGTGTCACATGTTTGTTCTTTAAGGATAAACCAATACCAATCAGTCAGTTAAGGAGATTTTCACTACCCTAAACTAGTTTCACAGAAGGCTGGGTCTATTTTTGGAAATTTATTATGAATACAAGGAGCCATCTACTACTCTACTCTCATTTGAATATTGCACTTGAAAAGTAAATGACTTGAAAACAGCCTCTTGTATTGTACCTCTATGATATTGCAACTCTAGATTACAGTGGACTCTAGATTGCAGTGGACTCTAGATTGCAGTGGACTCTAGATTGCAGTGGACTCTAGATTGCAGTGGACTCTAGATTGCAGTTGACTCCTGAAAAATGCAATAGCTTGGGACTGTCGTGCCAGAGCATGCAGTTATCAGGAGCAAGCTATTAACAATCATGTAATTGAAATGAGACTGGAAAACTGTATTGTACTTAAAGAATTCGCACTTATTCAAAGTGCACTTATCAGGAGTCGACTGTACATAATATATTTTAAATGTAAAACTGACTAGATGAAATGTTCAATAAAAAACCACCCCTTTCCATGAACTCAAAAAGATGTCCACCTCCCAATAGAAAATGAAAATAAACACCACTCACCTTTCCCAGCCAGGGTGCTGCAAAGGAGACAGAGGAAGAATGCACAACACAGAAAAGCAGACATTGTGCTAAAACAACATGAGCTTCACATCACAACTAAACTGAGCCTTCAAATAACAGGAAATATATGTCTATACCACAGTGGTGTCTGCTCTAGAACCTCTCCACCAATAGGAACACGAAGTATGCCTACTATATCAAGACCTGAACTTATTTCAATTGCAATTGTGGGTGTCAGTGTGTGACAGAGTCATAGGTTAGGGATAAATGAGGTTAAACAACAAAACACAATTATTTGCTGAGTATTAATTTGTGGGTTTGTCATTCAAAGAAAGTGACTTCAAGTACAACTGGAATAGTACGCTACAACAACCATTTCCAATGGACACACGCCATTAACTTTTCCAAGTTAGTGCACACTGTTGTGACCTTTTATTATTGAGACTATAGGCAGGTAGATATAACGAATCAGAGTGTGTGATAACAATGACTTGATGCTTTCTATGTGCAACCTGGGATCAGGTGATATGTGTAACACTAGACTCCCTACTCCCAGAATGGTTCACTACAAAACATAACCTCTACTCCCAGACATGAGAGGTGAATGGTTCACTACATAACCTCTACTCCCAGACATGAGAGGTGAATGGTTCCCTACCGGTGGTGTAAAGTACTTAAGTAAAAATACTTTAAAGTCCTACTTAAGTAGTTATTTTTTGGCATTTGTACTTTACTTTAATTATATTTGACAACTTTTACCTCACCACATTCCTAAAGAAAATAATCTACTTTTTCCTCCATACATTTTCCCTGACATGCAAAAGTACTTGTTACATTTCAAATGCTTAACAGGACAGGAAAATTGTCCAATTCACAAACATCCCTGGTCATCCCAACCGTCTCTGATCTGGCGGACTCACAAATTATTCGTTTGTAAATGATGTCTGAGTGTTGGAGTGTGCCCCTGGCTATCTGTAAATAAAAACATTTACAAATATTGTGCCATCTGGTTTGCTTAATATAAGGAAGGTGAAATTATTTACATTTTAGCAATTACATTTACCTTTGATAAATAAGTATACTGAAAACCAAATCCTTTTAGACTTTTACTGAAGTAGTATTTTACTGGGTGGCTTTCACCTTTACTTGAGTCATTTTCTATTAAGGTATTTTTACTTTTACTCAAGTATGACAATTGGGTACTTGTTCCACCACTGTTCCATCACACATAACATATCCTCTACTCCCAGACATGATAGAGGTGAATGGTTCACTACATAACATATCCTCACCACAACATATTTTACAGCATATTATATAACATTACAACGCCCTTAGAAAGCCACACTGTGGAGGAAGTGTGTATACACACCTGATTCAATAATTGTGGTCTAAATTGAAGACCATGGTCAGCTGCTTATTGAATCAGGTTAGAGTGGGTCTGGTCAGCTGCTTATTGAATCAGGTTAGAGTGGGTCTGGTCAGCTGCTTAGTGAATCAGGTTTGAGTGGGTCTGGTCAGCTGCTTAGTGAATCAGGTTAGAGTGGGTCTGGTCAGCTGCTTAGTGAATCAGGTTAGAGTGGGTCTGGTCAGCTGCTTAGTGAATCAGGTTAGAGTGGGTCTGGTCAGCTGCTTAGTGAATCAGGTTAGAGTGGGTCTGGTCAGCTGCTTAGTGAATCAGGTTAAAGAGGGTCTGGAACTAAAGCCAGTGCACACAGCACCTACGTAAACCTCAAGTCAGGGTGTGAGAACATCGCTCTCTAGTGGGGGGAGAGGTGTCTGCATAAAGCCAACAATTTGGGGCTTTTTGGGGGCCATGCCTCAGAGAGGTGGAAACACAAAAGGAAACATTTCTGGGCCAAACACTGGAGCTAAGCCTGATACGGAAAATACCCTGTTAGAAAACATTTGAAATGCATCCTCTTTTCTTCCCCCTTCACTTGAGTTCATCACTGATCTCAAGTGAGGTACCCATACAGAAAAGTTATATATTGAAATAATGTATATGGTGCTAAATTCAAAATGCATTTCAATATATTTTGTAATGTATGTTCATGAAATATATAAATAAAATATTGATTTACATATTGTACATCTGTACAGTATGTAACATATGGCAATTGTAAATGATGATAGAACATACAGTATATCAAATGAATGTGAACATCAAGACATGAAGTAGAAAGGGATAATGTTTTTCTAAAGTCTCAATCATTTTTCTATGCTGAAGTCTGAAATATTCATTTGTGGATATGGTCCCTCTGGGCAAACAGCCTGTGAGACTAAATGAAAAATAATTGACATCACTGCTACTTCAGCCATTGGCTATGTAACTGTAAAAAGCTCTGTTTATGAAATCGACTAACATTGGAAGGATTTTAGTCATCTGTGCCATGGGGGTGGAGTGTTGGGCAGGGAACTGTCAAGGGAGCTGGCTTGGTGGTGTTGAGGTGGTCCCATCAGAGTAGAGCATCCTGGGATATTTTTCCCATAGACCTGCTGTTAATGGGAAAGATGTTAGCAGGCAGGATATCACCAGAGAAAGCGATGATTGGCTGGCACAGTATTTGAATTAAACCTTATTCACCTGCGTTCCTGAAGTAAGGATTCACTCCTTTGGGAAGAGTTCCTCAGATACATTCCCATCGGGGGAGGAGGCGGTACAGGCTTGTTCTGTAAAACACATCAACAAATTCTCCAAATGATTAGTACCATTCTCACAGTTAAAATACAACGATCATCCACTATTTTTAACTGACATGATTTAAAGTGAATACCTCGGCCTTGGGCTCAGTTTTGTGTCTATATAGAATATTTAAACAGGTTCCTTACAGATGTGTCTTTGTCTCAGATAGATGAACCTCCTTTCATCTCCAGAAGATCCAGCTGAGCCATCCTCCACTGTTCTGAACCGCTACAGCAGGGGTCTCAGGCTCAGCCCCCGGCCGGCTGCCAGTCTGGCTCTGAGGGTTGACCTCGGGTTAGTCTGGCTTGGTGATGGTCATTATGGAAGGATCCACAGCATCTACTCTGGATATCTGTGACAAGTGGGGGAAGTCCGTCCACTCCGCTCACGTCACCATACAGAACAATCACTAACTGATACACTCAGAATAGCAATTTCATTACCTGAAGTAGAAATCTCCACGTGTAGTATTCACTCCACCATTCCATGTTGGTCCCACCATGGGGGTGTTGGTGTCACGATTCTCTAAGACAGAATCCAGAAGCAGACCAGGACAAGGTGAGTTGAACGAAGGTGAGTGTTTATTTACAGATTCAAAAGATGCAGAATAATCCAGGAGACGGAGCGGGTGGCGGATATGAGTAGGTGGAGGTGAAGTGGCATATTCAATGATGGCACGGCAGGGGTTGGGTGAAGGTTCCGGGAGAATGACTGTAGACAGAAAGAAACAGAGGTAAGTACAAGGCAGGTCAACAAGGTGCAAAATAACAAAAACTAATGCTAGTACTCAGAGGCTGGTGCCCTCCCTCTTCGCAGGGATGATATCTTGGTATTGAGCTGCCCCTGCATGTGCTTCATCTCTTGCTGCAAGTTGTTCAGCAGGACCTGAATCTCACCCTAGAGGACATCATGAAAGAGATAGGCTTCACACCATGCCCATTATACCATATCAAGGATTCTTTGTCACCCAACTACAATTTTATTAGGAATGCCCTGGTCTGAGCAGATTACTAGTATATTTAGACAAACCTTACCTTGTGAGATGCTCAATGACTGACGGGATGTGTCCCTGCTCCAGTGAGCTCTGATGGGATGTGTCCCTGCTCCTGTGAGCTCTGACGGGATGTGTCCCTGCTCCTGTGAGCTCTGACGGAATGTATCCCTGCTCATGTGAGCTCTGACGGGATGTGTCCCTGCTCCTGTGAGCTCTGACGGGATGTGTCCCTGCTCCTGTGAGCTCTGACGGGATGTGTCCCTGTTCCTGTGAGCTCTGACGGGATGTGTCCCTGCTCCTGTGAGCTCTGACGGGATGTGTCCCTGCTCCTGTGAGCTCTGATGGGATGTGTCCCTGCTCCTGTGAGCTCTGATGTGATGTCTTGGTCACTGATAATGGAAAGTGAGCCAGATTAGAGCTCTATGATTCAGCAATGAAACATTCAGCACCCCATGACTATTGAAATGTACTAATAAAGTCGAACCTTGCTCCATTGGTGGTTGTTCACAGGGGAGCCATCATTTTCCATTGGCCATATTGTGATCCATATTGTGATTCCTGTAAAAGCTGGAGATTTTGGTAAAGTTACCAGAATTTTGCGATCAAAGAGTCTAAGAGTACAGTAGCTAGCTAGCGATGTCTGTATGAAGAACCTTTTTGTTTTAGCTCGTTGGTAGCTAGTTAAAAAAGCATCGCCTTTTTGTAGAACAAATGTATCTTGTTTTTTAGGTGGAGGATTGTTATACATGGTGCTGTGGATGGTTACAGCAGGCTTGTTGTGTTTCTGAAGGCCGCTGACAACAACAGTCATGGAGTCAATCGAAGCAGCCAACACCTGCTACGGAATACCATCCCGGGTGAGATATGACCGGGGTGGTGAAAACAACTGTATCTGTGCCTTCATGGAGCAGTTCAGGGGTGGTGAGAGGGAAAGTGCCCTCAGGGGAAGGAGCACTCACAACCAGAAGATAGAGCGGCTGAGGGGGGATGTCTGGCATGGAGTCGTTTACCATGTTTACCATGACCGGATCACCTTCTTGGAGACAGAGCAGATCATCAACATCAACAATGAGGTTCACCTGTGGGCACTGCACTTTATGTTCCTGTCACGGGTGAACAGAGATCTTGCTTTGTTTCCCAGACAGTGGAACCACCATGGGCTGAGGACTGAACAACGGCAGTCACCTCTGCAGTTCTTCGTCTCAGGTGCCCTAGCAATGCAGAGGGCCAATCTGACAGCAGTAAGGGATTTGTTCGCCCCAGCTTCAACCACCATCACCTCTCAAGCCACCACCTCAGCTCCTCCAACCACCACCAGCAGCACCTCATCTCCTCCAACCACCACCAGCACCACCTCAGCTCCTCCAACCACCACCAGCACCATCTCAGCTCCTCCAACCACCACCAGCACCATCTCAGCTCCTCCAACCACCATCAGCACCACCTCAGCTCCTCCAACCACCACCAGCAGCACCTCAGCTCCTCCAACCACCACCACCTCAGCTCCTCCAACCACCAGCACCATCTCAGCTCCTCCAACCACCACCACCTCAGCTCCTCCAACCACCACCAGCACCACCTCAGCTCCTCCAACCACCACCAGCAGCACCTCAGCTCCTCCAACCACCACCAGCACCACCTCAGCTCCTCCAACCACCACCAGCACCATCTCAGCTCCTCCAACCACCATCAGCACCACCTCAGCTCCTCCAACCACCATCAGCACCACCTCAGCTCCTCCAACCACCACCAGCACCATCTCAGCTCCTCCAACCACCACCACCACCTCAGCTCCTCCAACCACCAGCACCATCTCAGCTCCTCCAACCACCAGCACCATCTCAGCTCCTCCAACCACCACCACCTCAGCTCCTCCAACCACCACCAGCACCATCTCAGCTCCTCCAACCACCAGCAACTCAACTCCTCCAACCACTACCACCACCTCAGCTCCTCCAACCACCACCACCTCAGCTCCTCCAACCACTGGCGCCGCAGCTCTTTATTGGTCGGAAGGGGTGATTGTCCCACAAATCCAGTTCACCATCAGCAACACACAGATGGAACTGTTGCGGACAATAAATCCATTCGAAGGCCCCAGAGGCAGCCTGGGAGTTGACATTCTACAGAGGGTTATGGCAGTTATATCTTCAGCGCCACTCGTTCCTTTGAATCAGTTCATTTTTATAATCCTATTATAAATGTTATAATACTAACTAAACTGTTCCCAAGGTAACAAGCCTCCTGTAGCTCAGTTGGAAAAGCATGGCGCTTGCAACGCCAGCGTTGTGGGTTCGATTCCCACGGGGGGCCAGTATGAAAAATGTATGCACTCACTAACTGTAAGTCGCTCTGGATAAGAGCGTCTGCTAAATGACTGAAATGTAAATGTAACACTCCCCCTCTTTCACACACTGTATGATTTGGTCTCTAGAAATGTACTACAGACATGTTTAACCCTTAACAAAGAGTGTCAAGGTGTATGGCCCCTCGGTGGGTTCAGAGATAGATCTGTGTTTAGGTACTGCTGGAGTTGCCAGTGCGCAGTGGTCCCGACAGGTTGAGGTAACTAGACAACTTATGCTGTAGCGGATCTTGACCAGAGTTGATTATTCTAAAATGGATTAAAGAAATAAAAATGTGGCGTCATACACAAGAAGACTTGAGGCTGTAATCGCTACCAAAGGTGCTTCAACAAAGTACTGAGTAAAAGGTCTGAATACTTATGTAAATGTGATATTTCCGTTTATGTTTTATATATTTGCAAAAATGTCTAAAAACCAGTATTTGCTTTGTCATTATGGGGTATTGTGTGTAGATTGATGAGGGGGGAAAAGTAATTTAATCAATTTTAGAATAAGGCTGTAACGTAATAAAATGTGGAAAAAGTCAAGGGGTCTGAATACTTTCCGAATGCACTGTACTAACAACACAGACGGTAAGTAGATAAATGCTTAAATGTTGATGTGCAGTTACATTTTCAAACACTCAATTGCTACTGTAGTTTAGTGCTACTAGATACAATTCTATACATTCTGTATCATAAAAATAACTATTTTGAAAAACATTGAATTTAGCTGTCAAATATATCTGCTCACTTGTCTCCATTAGTCTGACAAGTGAGCAGAAAAGAGGTACATTAAGACATTCAAAAGAACAGGGTCGGAAATGTACAAGTCTTCAGCACATAGCTGGTACATATATGAAACGGTGGGAGAGGGAAGGCAGAACAAGTCCCACAGACTTCACCCTCCAATGTTCTACCTATTATCTGTCACTCTCCACTAAGGTGTGTTTCTGCAACACTGAAATGCAGGGAATTCACAATACCCTAAAGGCATTGTAGGTGCTATGAAGAGGGAGCCTTAGTGTCACAGTAAATGCGTTTGCCTCTGGGTACTTTTTCTTCTGCTGCCCAGCGAGACTCCCTCGCGCTGTGTGGAGGAATTCGATGGTCAGGGTGTCCTTAAACCCCAGGGGTGGCACCACCGTTGCCCCAGTAGCAAACTCCAACACCATTGCCACTGTTAGAGGAGGGCATTCTCCATCTGAGGAGTACACAGTAAAACATTTAAAAATACACATTTAAATCACAAATGGAATAATATGGAATAATATGCAGTTACCAATAAACAACTACTATCTTACCTTGCACCTCGGCCAGCCAGTTGAACCAGTGGCAGATGGTGTCGTCCTCCAACCACCATCAGCACCACCTCAGCTCCTCCAACCACCATCAGCACCACCTCAGCTCCTCCAACCACCACCAGCACCATCTCAGCTCCTCCAACCACCACCACCACCTCAGCTCCTCCAACCACCAGCACCATCTCAGCTCCTCCAACCACCAGCACCATCTCAGCTCCTCCAACCACCACCACCTCAGCTCCTCCAACCACCACCAGCACCATCTCAGCTCCTCCAACCACCAGCAACTCAACTCCTCCAACCACTACCACCACCTCAGCTCCTCCAACCACCACCACCTCAGCTCCTCCAACCACTGGCGCCGCAGCTCTTTATTGGTCGGAAGGGGTGATTGTCCCACAAATCCAGTTCACCATCAGCAACACACAGATGGAACTGTTGCGGACAATAAATCCATTCGAAGGCCCCAGAGGCAGCCTGGGAGTTGACATTCTACAGAGGGTTATGGCAGTTATATCTTCAGCGCCACTCGTTCCTTTGAATCAGTTCATTTTTATAATCCTATTATAAATGTTATAATACTAACTAAACTGTTCCCAAGGTAACAAGCCTCCTGTAGCTCAGTTGGAAAAGCATGGCGCTTGCAACGCCAGCGTTGTGGGTTCGATTCCCACGGGGGGCCAGTATGAAAAATGTATGCACTCACTAACTGTAAGTCGCTCTGGATAAGAGCGTCTGCTAAATGACTGAAATGTAAATGTAACACTCCCCCTCTTTCACACACTGTATGATTTGGTCTCTAGAAATGTACTACAGACATGTTTAACCCTTAACAAAGAGTGTCAAGGTGTATGGCCCCTCGGTGGGTTCAGAGATAGATCTGTGTTTAGGTACTGCTGGAGTTGCCAGTGCGCAGTGGTCCCGACAGGTTGAGGTAACTAGACAACTTATGCTGTAGCGGATCTTGACCAGAGTTGATTATTCTAAAATGGATTAAAGAAATAAAAATGTGGCGTCATACACAAGAAGACTTGAGGCTGTAATCGCTACCAAAGGTGGTTCAACAAAGTACTGAGTAAAAGGTCTGAATACTTATGTAAATGTGATATTTCCGTTTATGTTTTATATATTTGCAAAAATGTCTAAAAACCAGTATTTGCTTTGTCATTATGGGGTATTGTGTGTAGATTGATGAGGGGGGAAAAGTAATTTAATCAATTTTAGAATAAGGCTGTAACGTAATAAAATGTGGAAAAAGTCAAGGGGTCTGAATACTTTCCGAATGCACTGTACTAACAACACAGACGGTAAGTAGATAAATGCTTAAATGTTGATGTGCAGTTACATTTTCAAACACTCAATTGCTACTGTAGTTTAGTGCTACTAGATACAATTCTATACATTCTGTATCATAAAAATAACTATTTTGAAAAACATTGAATTTAGCTGTCAAATATATCTGCTCACTTGTCTCCATTAGTCTGACAAGTGAGCAGAAAAGAGGTACATTAAGACATTCAAAAGAACAGGGTCGGAAATGTACAAGTCTTCAGCACATAGCTGGTACATATATGAAACGGTGGGAGAGGGAAGGCAGAACAAGTCCCACAGACTTCACCCTCCAATGTTCTACCTATTATCTGTCACTCTCCACTAAGGTGTGTTTCTGCAACACTGAAATGCAGGGAATTCACAATACCCTAAAGGCATTGTAGGTGCTATGAAGAGGGAGCCTTAGTGTCACAGTAAATGCGTTTGCCTCTGGGTACTTTTTCTTCTGCTGCCCAGCGAGACTCCCTCGCGCTGTGTGGAGGAATTCGATGGTCAGGGTGTCCTGACCATCGAGGGTGTCCACTAAAACGTACATTTTCCAAACGTGCTCTCAGAGTAGTGTGGCCCACCTCCTCCAGTCTGAGTGGAGGAGCAGGCTTCCCACACACTGCTGCAAAGAGTCGCTCAGAGAAGAAGTGTGGCCCAACCCTTCAATGGACCACACACACACTGACTATTTTCCCAATGGTTCCATACAGGCCCTCATGTGATGCTAAAAAGACAATTTCAAATGTGTGCCAGCTTCATTATCCCTATGATATATCGCCCTGGACAAAGCACCTGAAAAAGCCTTTTCACTAATTGTTTTGTCTTAGATGTTGTATTTGACATGAAAGTCAGACGTTAATACAGGTAAAAACAAAGGAAGGCTTTCAAAGGACAGCCGTTTCACTCCTTCCGGACCCTCGAAGATGGCCGAGTCCCTGATGTCCCTCGTGAGGAGCCTGTAATACTCCCTGGAGGGACCCCTTTGGTCAACTGCCCCCTCCACCTTGGACTCAACGTCCACAAAGGCAACGTCCAACTTAAAAGTTTTTGCGTTGAAAAGCATGCAGGCTACTGTTTAGGACGTTGCCCCTGTGGACATTTATCATGTTGGCGATGGGGCAGTTGTCCTGGTCCATAGGTCCGTTTGGGGGGGGGGCTCATTCAAAATGTATGACAAATCGAATAAGGATTGATCCTAACGGAAAATCCTCTGACATTGAGGTTAAATACTACATTTTGTTTATAAACAAATGCTCTTTTAAAAAAACTCAGTCTCTGGATCCGATGATGGAGATGAGGGAGGTGAAGCTGAGGGAGAAGGAGAAAGTGACTTAGAAGGTGAGGGGTGATAAGAAGGAAAGAGTGAGGACGTTAAGGGTGTGTCACACCCTGGCTCTGGGACTCTATATGTTGAGCCAGGGTGTGTTCATTCTATGTGTTCTGTTTCTTTGTTTGGGTGTTCTAGGTTGGTTATTTCTATGTTTGCCTGTGTGACTCCCAATCAGAGGCAACGAGTGTCAGCTGTCGGCTGGTTGTCTCTGATTGGGAGCCATATTTAACTGTCTGTGTTTCACTTTGTGTTTGTGGGTTTTTGTTCCGTGTTCGGTATTTGTTACCGTGGACTTCACGAGTCGTGTTTTGTTTTGGTATACTTTAACTAATTAAAGTCATGTTTATTTCTCACGCTGCGCCTTGGTCTACTCATTCATACGACGTTCGTGACAGAAAAACCCACCGTAAAAGGACCAAGCAGCGTGTCCAGGAGCAGGCAGACTGGACATGGGAGGAAGCGCCAGGAAAGGAGATGGAGAGGCTGGCGATGGCCCAGGTGGGCAAATCGTGGTCCTGGGAAGACATGCTCGGGGGCAAGGGACCTTGGGGTAGGATTAAGGCCCTGGCGAGAGAGGAGCAGCGGCGTCAGCAGTGCCATCGTCGGAAGGACGAGAGGCACCCCCAAGAATTTTTTAGGGGGGGGCACACGGCATGGGCGACTGGGCAGCAGGAGGCTGCCACAGGGCGAAATGGGAGACGAGGAGAGAAGGCCACCGGGTTACGGGAGCCATTGGCGAGAGGAGGGAAGGAAGTTGTAGAGGCACGGCGAGAGGTACTGAGGTGTATTGCCAGTCCGGTCCGGCCCGTTCCTGATCCCCGTTTAAGGCCAGTGGTGTGTGTTCCCAGTACGGTCCGGCCTGTTCCTGCTCCACGCACCAAACCTACGGTGTGCGTCGCCAGCCCAGCCCGGCCTGTCCCTGCTCCACGCACCAAGCCTACGGTGTGCGTCGTCAGCCCAGCCCGGCCTGTTCCTGCTCCACGCACCAAACCTACGGTGTGCGTCGCCAGCCCAGCCCGGCCTGTTCCTGCTCCACGCACCAAGCCTACGGTGTGCGTCGCCAGCCCTGTCCGGCCTGTTCCTGCTCCACGCACCAAGCCTACGGTGTGCGTCGTCAGCCCAGCCCGGCCTGTCCCTGCTCCACGCACCAAGCCTACGGGGTGCGTCGCCAGCCCTGTCCGGCCTGTCCCTGCTCCACGCACCAAGCCTACGGTGTGCGTCGCCAGCCCTGTCCGGCCTGTCCCTGCTCCACGCACCAAGCCTACGGTGTGCGTCGACAGCCCTGTCCGGCCTGTTCCTGCTCCACGCACCAAGCCTACGGTGTGCGTCGACAGCCCAGCCCGGCCTGTCCCTGCTCCACGCACCAAGCCTACGGTGTGCGTCGACAGCCCAGCCCGGCCTGTCCCTGCTCCACGCACCAAGCCTACGGTGTGCGTCGCCAGCCCAGCCCGGCCTGTCCCTGCTCCACGCACCAAGCCTACGGTGTGCGTCGTCAGCCTGGTCCAGCCCGTTCCTGCCACTCGCACCAAGCCAGGGGTGCGAGTCGTCAGCCTGGTCCAGCCCGTTCCTGCCACTCGCACCAAGCCAGGGGTGCGAGTCGTCAGCCTGGTTCAGCCCGTTCCTGCTACTCGCACCAAGCCCGGGGTACGAGTCGTCAGCCTGGTAAGGCCCGTCGCTGCTCCACGCACCAAGCCTAGGGTGCGAGTCGTCAGTCCGGCACAACCCGTGCCTGGGTCATCGGTGCCAATTCAGGTACTGCTCCACTAAGGAGCTGAAGCCTACCGCCCCTGCTACGTCCAGTCCAGCTCCAGCCAGCGGGGCCAGACTGGACCAGGGGCGCTATGGGGGGTTTGTTGGAGGGTGGTGGGCAAGGCCGGAGCCAGAACCGCCGCCGAGGAGGTATGCCCACCCAGCCCTCCCCTGTTTTGCTCGTATTTAGGCGCGGTCGCAGTCCGCGCCTTTAGGGGGGGGTACTGTCACACCCTGGCTCTGGGACTCTATATGTTGAGCCAGGGTGTGTTCATTCTATGTGTTCTGTTTCTTTGTTTGGGTGTTCTAGGTTGGTTATTTCTATGTTTGCCTGTGTGACTCCCAATCAGAGGCAACGAGTGTCAGCTGTCGGCTGGTTGTCTCTGATTGGGAGCCATATTTAACTGTCTGTGTTTCACTTTGTGTTTGTGGGTTTTTGTTCCGTGTTCGGTATTTGTTACCGTGGACTTCACGAGTCGTGTTTTGTTTTGGTATACTTTAACTAATTAAAGTCATGTTTATTTCTCACGCTGCGCCTTGGTCTACTCATTCATACGACGTTCGTGACAGGGTGAGGGGTGATAAGAAGGAAAGAGTGAGGACGTTAAGGGTGAGGGGTGATAAGAAGGAAAGAGTGAGGACGTTAAGGGTGAGGGGTGATAAGAAGGAAAGTTTGGTGATGAAGAAGGTGAGAGAGGAGGCTGACGAGTTGAGGAGAGGGGACAGGTGAGAAGAGAGCACAGGTGAGAGGTGTTGAGAGGGGGTAGGTGAGAGATGAGGCGATAGGATTGCCTGTAAATGGACAGAAACAACCACACACAAAGGTTATAATGATCAAGTAGTTCAACTGTAGTCCTATACAAACATAAAATATATTATGTCATGCTAGTCACCTGCACATCCTCCACAGACAGTGTTGTGGACTCCTGACTGTCATGCTCCTCCAATGACCCGTTAAATCGTGCTCTTCAGGGTTGCGATGCCCGCTGCTGCCTGACGGGTAAAAACTCATTCGAGGCATCATCCCCCCCCACAAAATCAAACATCATCTATATGACAGAAGACCAACATTAACAATTGTAATTCAGCCTGAAATGTACATTTATAGTACTGAATTTATCAACAAGTGAATGAAGGACTTACCTGAATGGATTCAGAGAGCCGGAATCTTCTAATCCGCTACCTCCCATCCGGGTATTTGATCGTAAAGGTCACTCCTTCAGGCTGCTTGTCACGCTCTGGCTCCGGGACTGTGTATTTTGAGCCAGGGTGTGTTCATTTGGTTGTGTTGTATTTGGTTGTGTTTCATTGTTTGGTCGTGTGACTCCCAATCAGTGGTAACGAGTGTCAGCTGTCGGCTCGTTATCTCTGATTGGGAGCCATATTTAAACTGTCAGTGTTCACCTTAGTGTTGTGGGTTTTTGTTCCTTTACGGTCATTGTAACTGTGGACTTCATGAATCGTTTATTGTTTTGCACTTTAGTATAATAAAGTCATCATGTTCGCTCAACACGCTGCGTATTGGTCTGCTCCTTTTGAAGACGATCGTGACAGAAAAACCCACCAAGATGGGACCAAGCAGCGTGTCCAGGAGCCATCGCCAGGGAGATCCCTCACAGATCTCCTTCGCCTCCTGGACTGGGTCAAGCCGAGTGAGGAAGAGAAGGGCTTGACATTATGGCAGAAGGGCGAGAGGCTGGCGAGGGACATGGAGACCTGGTCCACGGGTAGGAGAGACGCCCCGAACATTTTTAGGGGGGGGCTCACGACGTCGGACCAGCGGGAGGCCGCGATAGAGCGGCCCAGTGGGTTGCCGGAGAAGGCCGCCGGGTTACGGGGGCCACTGGTCGAAGAGGGGATGGAGGAAGTAGAGGCACGGCGAGAGGTACTGGCGTGTGTTGCCAGTCCGGTCCGGCCCGTTCCAGATCCCGGTGTAGGACCAGTGGTGTGTGTCCCCAGTACAGTCCGGCCCATCCAAGCTTCCCGCACCAAGCCAGTGGTGTGCGTCGTCAGTCCGGCACGGCCCGTGCCTGCTCTCCGCATCAAGCCTGTGGTGCGTCTCGTCAGCCCGGCTCTGCCCGTTCCTGCTCTCCGCACCAGGTCTGTGGTGCACGTCGCCAGCCCAGTCCGGCCCATTCCTGCCACTCGTACCAAGTCAAGGGTGCGAGTCGTCAGCCGGATTCAGCCCATTCCTGTTACTCGCACCAAGCCAAGGGTGCGAGTCGTCAGCCGGATTCAGCCCATTCCTGCTACTCGCACCAAGCCAAGGGTGCGAGTCGTCAGCCGGATTCAGCCCATTCCTGCTACTCGCACCAAGCCAAGGGTGCGAGTCGTCAGCCGGATTCAGCCCATTCCTGCTACTCGCACCAAGCCAGGGATGCGAGTCTTCAGCCTGGTGAGGCCTGTTCCGGCTCCACGCACCATGCAAAGGGTGCGTATCGTCTGCCAGGTCCGGTCCATTCCTGCCTCACGCGCCAAGCCAGGGGTGCGCGTCGGCAGTCCTGATCCAGCTAGCTGGGTCAGATCGGACTGGGGGCACTACGGGGGGATTGTAGTAGGGTGGTGGTCAAGCCCGGAGCCGGAGCCGCCTCCGAGGAGCAATACCCACCCAGCCCTTCCCTATTTGGGGTGTAGGCGCGGTCGGAGTCCGCGCCTTTAGGGGGGGGTACTGTCACGCTCTGGCTCCGGGACTGTGTATTTTGAGCCAGGGTGTGTTCATTTGGTTGTGTTGTATTTGGTTGTGTTTCATTGTTTGGTCGTGTGACTCCCAATCAGTGGTAACGAGTGTCAGCTGTCGGCTCGTTATCTCTGATTGGGAGCCATATTTAAACTGTCAGTGTTCACCTTAGTGTTGTGGGTTTTTGTTCCTTTACGGTCATTGTAACTGTGGACTTCATGAATCGTTTATTGTTTTGCACTTTAGTATAATAAAGTCATCATGTTCGCTCAACACGCTGCGTATTGGTCTGCTCCTTTTGAAGACGATCGTGACACTGCTCAGGATGAGAGATGAGAGACCACCCTCTGTCTTCTCTCCTCTATTGACTACAATATGCATTACTGTTCAGTTCTAAATATATTTATACCACAGCATTGTTGTTCTAGAATGGGCATTAAAACCAGTTCAGAAAGAAAACGGCACGTAGAAATACGTTTAACCATTTATTAAGCAATGAATAATGCAAGTCTTGGCGATATAGGCTCTGCTCCTTCGGGGTAGCTCACTGCCCAAGCGTCAAAAACTCAGCTTCGCCTTGTCCCGCTGCGTCATCCATTATTTCCAAGCTAATGTACAGAACGTCTGCGTTTATCCCTTACATAATACACAGATGATATCAACTTGGTGAAATCCCTTACTCCGCCTGCTCTCCCACTCCGCAAAACGACAACGTTTCATCTCCTGTGGCAAAAATAAGTATTGAATTCATCTGTTTTGTGTATGAAAAAGTATGTGTTTCCTGTTGGAATGCCAATGATGTGTGATTTTAACAGATTTACTAAGCTATATTATATACAGTGGGGAGAACAAGTATTTGATACACTGCCGATTTTGCAGGTTTTCCTACTTACAAAGCATGTAGAGGTCTGTAATTTTTATCATAGGTACACTTCAACTGTGAGAGACTGAATCTAAAAAAACAAAAATCCATAAAATCACATTGTATGATTTTTAAGTAATTAATTTGCATTTTATTGCATCTGCTTTTCTGATGTATCAAATACTTATGTCATGCAATAAAATGCTAATTAATTACTTAAAAATCATACAATGTGATTTTCTGGATTCTGTCTCTGAAGTGTACCTATGATAGAAATTACAGACCTCTACATGCTTTGTAAGTAGCAAAACCTGCAAAATCGGCAGTGTATCAAATACTTGTTCTCCCCACTGTACATACTTTCTCCTGGTCTGCAGCCAGAGAGAGCTGGTAGGCCTTGTCTTGAAGACGCCGTATCTCCCGCATTTCCTCTAGAGACTGAAATCAATACAGGGACAGTAAATAACAAAGCCATTCGGATTGTTAGGTCATTTAACATTCCAAACCTCTAGTGTCACTGAAGCTTGTGGTGAGGCAACATGGAGGCCCATCTCCATAGGCAGATACTCTGCCTCGGAGGGTGTCTCCTCCCTTACAGTTTCCTTTAACATAAAAATACAATAAATCCCTAGTTGCTCAATTACTTTATAACTTTTGTATACAGAGGGAAATCCCGTTTATTTTTTAGTTAATTCATTACCTCTGGCATTTATCACGTGACATAATAAAGCTCAATCTACCTCCCACTTCCTAAAACATAAGCTATCAACTACATTCAATCCTAAATACAGGGCAGTGATTTTTTAATTATTTAACTAGGCAAGTCAGTTAAGAACAAATTGTTATTTACAATGACGGCCTACACCGGCCAAACCCGGACGACGCTGGGCCAATTGTGCACCGCCCTATGGGACTCCCAATCACGGCCGGTTGTGATACAGCCTGGAATCGAACCAGGGAGTATGTAGTGACGCCTCAAGCACTGAGATGCAGAGCCTTAGCCCGCTGCGCCACTCCGGAGCCCTTGTCTGGACAGCTGATGCTGTCCAGCTTAAGGGGAACTAGCCTCCTCCTCCTGTCTGTCTTAAAGGCCTCTACATTTGGATTCATCTGGGGGAATGTTTACCCCAAAACCTTCAAGAAGCTTCTCCTGAGGATAGGACACTTTGATCTGCCTCACAGGATACTCTAAAGATACTGAGATATGGAAACATTATTTAAATCTAATAAAAAGTATCCTAATATACACAGAGAAACGGTCCATGATCTTTAAATCAGTAAAATAACCTTCGATAAGTCTATGTTTAATCACAAAATAGATTCACACCTAGCTTACTTACAAAGCAAGCACCGTGTGCGTCCTCATGTACTGCATGGATATAGGGGAAATTGACCTACCCAGCAGCTGGATGGTAGTGTCAGCGATCAGGCAAACCATTTACATTTACGTCATTTAGCAGACGCTCTTATCCAGAGCGACTTACATGAGCAATTAGGGTTAAGTGCCTTGCTCAAGGGCACATCGACAGATTTTTCACCTAGTCGGCGCGGGGATTAGAACCAGGGACCTTTCGGTTACTGGCACAACGCTCTTAACCACTAAACTACCTGCCGCCCCAAACCCTCTTTTATCTGCCTGCTTCTCCCTGTTTGCCGCCTCTGGACTCCAGCATTATTCCGACTCCTGAATGATTTAAATCAGACAGGTGCAAGCGTTATAGAAGTTATAATAATGACACTCAGCATAATCGACGTCGCTCATTCTCGGGCACTCCACCGGGCCTTAGGTAGCTGTGCCGGTCATTGTTGACTTTTGCCTGGTATTACCTACAATAATTAATCCTACCTTTGAACCACCCGATCCTCCTGGGGTGGTTGTGAAGATGGTTGTACTTGGCTGGCAAATCTTAAAAAGCGGTCTCTCATGTTTTCAAGGTTCGACATTATTTATTAGTTTGTTGGTGATGATGAATGAATGTTTTTTCACATGCGCCTTATTTGTGATTGGCCAACATTTGCATATAGTTTGCATAGTGTTATTGGACGTGTATCTTTTTTGGCACTCGAAGACCCAAACGGCGTTACATACTATACTGCTCTGCCTTTTTAACAACACTGTCAACAAGGCAGGTCCTACAGGCCCTAGTTTTTGTCGCACCTGGACTACTGGTCATTCATGTGGTCAGATGCCACGAAGAGGCAAAAATTATAATTGGCTCAGAACAGGGCTGCACGACTAGCCCTTAAATGTACACGGAGAGCTAACATTAATAATATGCATGTAAATCTCTCGTGGCTCAAAGCAGAGGAGAGATTGACTTCATCACTACTTGTTTTTGTAAGAAGTGTTGACACGCTGAATGCACCGAGGCGTCTGTTTAAACTACTGGCACACAGCTCGGACACCAATGCATATGCCACCAAAGGTCTCTTCACAATCCCCAAGTCCAGAACAGACTATGGGAGGTGCACAGTACCACATAGAGCCATGGCTACATGGAACTATATTCCACATCAAGTAACTGATGCAAGCAGTGGAATGAGATTTAAAAAACAGATAGAAATACACCTAATGGAACAGCGTGGACAGTGAAGAGACAGGCACAGACACATACACACACGATAAGACACGCACTCTACACATGGATTTTGTATTGTAGATATGTGATAGTAGAGTAGTGGCCTGAGGGAACACAATGCGTTATGAAATGTAATATTTTAAATTGTATATAACTGCCTTAATGTTGCTGGACCCCAGGAAGAGTAGCTGCTGCCTTGGCAGGAACTAATGGGGATCCTTAATAAAAACAAATACCATGAGGCCATTGGTGTTTTTATTAAAACAGCTACAGAGTTGAATGGCTGTGATGGGAGAAGACTGAGGATGGATCAACAACATTGAAGTGACTCCACAATAATAACCTAAATGACAGTGAAAAGATTAATACAAATATTGTTGCATCAAGGCACTAAAGTAATACTGCAAAAAAAACAGAGCAAATACACTTTTTGACCTAGGTGCAATGCCTTATCTTTGGGGCAAATCCAACACAACACTGACTGCTTATTTTCAAGGATAGAGGTGGCTGATTCATGGTATGGGTATGCTTGACATCAGCAAATACTGGGGAGTTTTTCAGGATACAAAAAAATGGGATGGAGCTAAGCACAGGTAACATCCTAGAGGAAAACCTGCTTCACACCAGACACTGGTCGAGAAATTCACCATTCAGCCAGACAATAACCTAAAACACAAGGCCAAATCTACACTGGAGTTGCTTACGTAGAAGATAGTGAATGTTCCTGAGTGGCCAAGTTACAGTTTTGTACTTAAATCTGCTTGAAAATCTATGGCAAGACTTGAAAATGGCTGTCTAGCAAGGATCTCCAACACCTTAACAGAGCTTGAAGAATTTTGAAAAGAATAATGGACAAATATTGCACAAAACAGGTGTGCAAAGCTCTTATGAGACTTACCCAAGACCCACAGCTGGTGTTTCTAACATTTATCGACTCAGGGGGTTGAATACGTAAAGGTATTTTAGTGTTATATTTTTCAAAAATCTTTGAAAACAATGTTAGAATTTTTCTTCCAATTTGACAGAGTATTTTATGTAATGACACAAACACACAGGACAAAACCCCAGCCAGATCTCTCCAGACCAGCCTGCACCCCCCACCACCAAACCACAGGACAAAACCCCCTCTCCAAAATGACAATTAAATCAATTTGAATCCCACTTTGTAACAATAAAATGTGAAGAAATCTAAGGGGGTTGAATACTTATCATACCTACAGTGCCCATGTCCAGTTCCAGAACCATGACACAGGAAAACACTGGGCCTAATGGAACAGAGGCATGTCAACTAAAGCAACTCTCAAATCCACTAAAACCCAATATTGGCTTCTGAATAAATTACTTACTCAAATTGTGATGCACAAAATATGTGTTTGGTCAAGATCAATTTCACACACTGCTACTGGGTCACACTAGTGTCTTCACTGTCAAATCAATGTCCACTAAATATGTGCATATGCGTGTGTCCTTCCAGATAGTCCTATATACTCTCATTTCAGGTTTTATTCACAATAGATCATATTTTTTATGAAAGAATAATCTGGTGTGGTTAACAACTACAGACAATGCTGTTAATACTGTTAGCTTGGTAGCAGGACAATGAATGGACTCTTTCTCCTGCAGAGGTGGAACAGAATAGAGTGTTGCGCCAGATTTTTCAATTTTCCAGGCAAAGCAGTCACATTCAGTTAGCTGGTTGACATTTAAGACAGAGCAGACATGACACCGACAGGGAAGAGAGCCCATAGCACTCCTGATAATACATATGTCGCTACAGAAACAGTCCTGTCATGGTGCTGAGGTCGTGCTCTGCTGGGACTGCTGTATCCTCAGGCTCTGGTTCCATAGGAGACAATAGGAATACCAACACTGTTATACACTATTTTACTGTACACATTTTATACATAGCATTTTATTGTTGGCCCTACAGTTTACTGTACACATGTTATACATAATATTTCACTGTTGGCCCTACAGTTTACTGTACACATTTTATCCCTTGCATTTTATAAACAGCATTTTACTATACATTTGATAGTTTTGACAGGAATCCCTGTTCCATTAGGTAGATGAAAATAATAAACACAAACATACCTTCTGCCACAACAGAGTCCTCCTGTGTCAATGGTTCATCTGGAAAGAGAAACCAGAAGCAGCCTTTTACAGGGGTTGATACTGTGTGCTCTACCATGGTTTGTGATTTATCACGCACTGACAAAACAATAACAAATCCTGAATTCCTTTCTGGGAAGGAGGAGGAGAGGAATAGAGAAACTAAAACACAATTCAAACAAAGCTCAGTCCTCTTGTCTGAGGAGTTAGTTCTCCATTCCACTTATTATTTAGCAACATCCTGGCATTTAGCCAGCACAGGAAGTACTCTACTAATCTTCCCAGACCTCTGCATTCCTCTCTGCGGAGACTTTCGAAAGCAGGGTCGTGTTCACTAGGCACGAAATGGAAAGAAGTGATCTGAATAAAGTCTTGAAGCGTTTTGCAACAGTGTGCCCTAATGAACATGACCCTGGGTGCTCACGTTGTCTGAGTCTTATGGCTTGAAACAGCTTGAGAAGCAGCAGTCCAATGGCAAGAGAGCCTACTACCACAAATACAGCAGCCACACCCATGTAACTGTTCTTTGGAATATCCTTTTGAGTCCCAGGATTTTCAGGATTCTCAAGGGCTGTTTCTGTAACACATACAAAATCAGAAGTGAAAATCATGTCACATTCAGGGATGCGATCAATTAAGTCATGTTTGTAAGGTATTGGTTTAAAGGTAGCTGTCAATTTATATAATATATGGACAGTAATAGACGGTAATGTCAGAAAAGCAAGAATTCTTGATGGATCCTCTGCACAGTGGAAATCATGACGTAAAAAGGAGAATACTATATTGTTACACTGTGAGGAGATATGATGCAATGCACTGTGTGACCGCCACACTGGTGCCACAGCTGTCACTCTACATTCTGTCCAATGAGTACAAGCACTGAGAAAATCCTTGCCATAGACATACAGTAAATGCTGACAAGATTTTACACTAGTAGGCTAGTCTAACTGTAATCATCCCTTCACAAGGAATGACCCCCCCTCCCAGCCCCCTTGAGCTGTCCACCACGTGTTCTATGTAAGAGGATTACTGGGGACCCCCCCCGAGTCACTAAGTCATCAATAAGTCTTGTCATTCACAAATAAGACGTGGATTTACTGGCAGCGATTTCTAACAAAGATTAAAGGCCAACTTTGAACTCTATGGTAATGGCTGTGGTGTAGACCTGTGCAGTGGACAAGAGGCTTGTGTTGTTTAGACACCAGCTGGTACTGGCTTTGTCTTTCCGTGGGGTGAAATTGACCTTCAAATCAACTCTATGGTAGTACTATATTAATTAGATAATAAAATTAGAAAAGAACAGGACAGGTTTATTGTCTTCTGGGAAAAAAATATTGTGGACTGTGCATTGAACCAGTCCTTCTCAGATACATCTGAAAATGTGAGTTGCATTTAATTGTTAAATACAAGTAAATGGTCAGTGTTAGTTTTGAATTCAAAGTTCCTTCTTCACAACCTATGTGTAAGGACCTGAGTTTTTCCTGACTGGGAAATACTCAGGGACTGTAAAAGCTTTGAGCTCACCTGTGACATTCAGCATGATGGTGCACTTTGTGTTTCCACTGTTAGTGTTCACCACGCACTCATACTGACCCACGTCTTCAGGCTTGGTTTCTTTGACCAACAGGGACACAACTTGGTCTTTCTCATTGGCAAAAAGCTGATATTTTGGGCTCGGCGGCATCCTGGTATCAGAGGATTGTTTATTGATTATGTTGGATTGGAACACAGGTTTATCTTCGTGATCACCATTGTGGTCCAGCTTCCACAACACAACCCACTCTATCTCTACATTACCAGGGGATTTCTCACCAAACTTCACAGAGCACTGTAGGACTGCATCCTCCCCAGATTCCACCTGGATGACCTGCTTTAACTTTAACTCTGGGCCCTGACTTAGACCTGTTTAAGCAATAGATAGACAAACAAAATTAAACAGCACTGTAGGACTGTAGTATAGAAAATATTACGACTGACAAGTGTAGTTTGGGTTTAAAAAAAACTCCTAGACCATTTGGTGTGAGCATTTTGGAAGTTGTAGTGTAGGCAAAAGTATTACAAATTGTGCCTGCAGAATGCCTTACTTTTGGATGTCTCAGTCCCTGTGGTGAGGACAAACATGAGAGTGGACAATCTGACGACCAATGCCATGTTAGGGCTTTTCTCCTTAGTAGAAAAACAAACAAGGCTTCTGAGAAACAGTGGTCTCTCCACAGGAAAAGGTTTACACCTGACAACAATCAGTGGTTGAGCCAAATTAATCAGAGAGACAGTGGATAGCCTGAATAATATGCATTGACTAATAAAAGCGTTGACCTAATGAACACGCTCTTCTTGCTTACTAAGCGAGCAAGGTCAATGTATACAAATAAAGTCGCACTCTATATACGCTCGCAACAATTTAAATAGGAAACCTAATAACCAACGTTTTGGCAATAATCTATTTTTATTCGTGAAATAATACTTAGTGTCGAATAACAGTTAAACGCTTACTTACGGGCACTTCAACAATGCAGAGTAAGAAATTAGAAATAGAAAATTAAAACACGCAATACAAGTGATAGTAGTGTAAAAACAAAAACATCACTGCATTGCCGAAACGATTGTTATTAGGTTTACCCATTACATTGTTGGGAGCATATAGTGTGCGACTTTACTTTTCATAGTTTACTCTGTTAGTCAGCAACTCTACAAACATTTGTGGGTGTGTCATGCGTTTTACTAGACTATGTTCAAAGTCACGAACAAAAGTTACAGCTGCATAAATCAACAACATAATACTTACAATTAGATTCCGAACTCCCTATAGCCCAGTCCTCAAGAACAAATCTCATGAGCCACGAAAATACTTTCTTCTTCTTCTTCTTCTTCTTCTTCTTCTTCAGTGGGGTTTATCGGCGGTTGGCATCCAACGTTATGGTGCATTACCGCCACCTACCTTACTGGAGTGTGGGCCAGAGACGGGGAGAAACTAAATCCTACTTGCCAGCCCCGTTGCTCTTAAAAAAGATAACAAAATATTTGAAACTATATCTAATGACGTTCTAGGCCTCTGCCTTGCTCATTGAAACTTCAACATCAACATCCCCACTACTAAGTGCTTGTTTAGCCTGTTCATCTACTGCCTCGTTCCCCTCCACCCCCACATGGGCTGGAACCCAAGTAAATCTTATCTGAATACCCATCTGTTTAATCCTGCCATGGGTTTGTAGCACCTCATAAAGCAGGTCTTGTCTGCTATGTGAGCTAAAGGACTGGAGACTCATTAACACCACAAATGAATCAGAGCAAATAACTGTCTTGTTTGACTTCCTCCACCCACTGCAAGGTCAACAGTATGGCCATCAGCTCCACCGTATATACAGCCAGATGATCTGTAATACGTTTCCTGACTTCCACCCCACATTCCTGCACTACAAATGCTGACCCAGTACATCCTGTCCTTGGATCTTTTGAACCATCTGAGTAAATGGCCACAAAATCCTGATAGTTTCCAGACGTCTCTTAAACAAATCAGATGGATCAACACCCTCCCTATTTTTGTCTAGTCTCTCCAACACTTCTAGATCAACTACCGGAGGCAGGAGTAGCCATGGTGGATTTACAGGAATAACTACAGATGGACTAAACTCCCTTCCATACAGTCCCATCTCCTTCGCCTGGGTATTACCCACCCACCCAAAGCTTGTGTTCCGTCTTGAAAAATACATTCACTTTGTGGACACTTTTAAAAGTCAAATGGGATGTTCTAACTGTAAAAAACAAGCTGACCAAATCCTTACTCAAGATGTTTCACTTTTGGTTTCAAATAGTTGGCTTACAGTAGATGATCCTTGTGGTATGCCATGCATAACTAAAAACATTAGTGAGATCCTCACAAAATACATCTTTCCTCCAATAAAAATAAACCAGGAGCAAAATGAAAACAAATTCATATCAATCTTTATTGTATTTAGAAATTCACGCATCAAATCTTTGAATTTTTTTTTTTTTTTTACCATTTACAACAGATGGAGAATGAGACAAGCTAAAACGTCATGCCTTTTCCAGCAGGAGCAATGTAGGCACACTACAGGATGGACTGAAATGGGGGGGGAGGGGAAAAGAGATACATAAAGTGCTTCTGTCAACGGTTCTCTTTTAATAGAAAAAAAAGGGTCAAAACAAAAAGGTGGGGGGGACAGGACGGGGGCAAATTCCATGGCTCAGAGGGGACGTGGTGGATCGTGTCGGACAGAGAGGGGGTGAACAGTGGGACTGTGAGGTGAGGAAGGGGAAAATGGGGGCAATTCTTTCAAAAATAAAAAGTTCCAACGAAAGCCGACTTCAACCCAGGATGAGGCTGGACTTGCCCCCTGGGGGGTTTCTTCGGCCGGAGGGGGCGGCTGCGTTGGCGGCTCCCGAGGGGGAGGAGGGCTGTGGTGCCTCCTCCTTCTGCTCCTTCTCTTCTGGTTCCTCAGGGCAGTCTACTTTACCACACAACACAGAGGAGACAATGTCAGGGTCTTCACTACCTGGCCCACTGATCAGATCCATATGATACACGACTGAGGATGCGTTTACACAGGCAGCCCAACTGATCTTTGGCCCAATTATTGGCAAAAGAGCTGATCTGATTGCTCAAAAGACCATTTAGTGGTAAAAAAATTAATAAAATCAGTATTGTGCTGCCTGTGTAAACACAGCCTATAATCTAGCCATGCTAGAACGGAGAGAGGCACAGCACTTACAGTGGGGGAAAAAAGTATTTAGTCAGCCACCAATTGTGCAAGTTCTCCCACTTAAAAAGATGAGAGAGGCCTGTAATTTTCATCATAGGTACACGTCAACTATGACAGACAAATTGAGAAAAGAAAATCCAGAAAATCACATTGTAGGATTTTTTATGAATTTATTTGCAAATTATGGTGGAAAATAAGTATTTGGTCACCTACAAACAAGCAAGATTTCTGGCTCTCACAGACCTGTAATTTCTTCTTTAAGAGGCTCCTCTGTCCTCCACTCGTTACCTGTATTAATGGCACCTGTTTGAACTTGTTATCAGTATAAAAGACACCTGTCCACAACCTCAAACAGTCACACTCCAAACTCCACTATGGCCAAGACCAAAGAGCTGTCAAAGGACACCAGAAACAAAATTGTAGACCTGCACCAGGCTGGGAAGACTGAATATGCAATAGGTAAGCAGCTTGGTTTGAAGAAATCAACTGTGGGAGCAATTATTAGGAAATGGAAGACATACAAGGCCACTGATAATGTCCCTCGATCTGGGGCTCCACGCAAGATCTCACCCCGTGGGGTCAAAATGATCACAAGAACGGTGAGCAAAAATCCCAGAACCACACGGGGGGACCTAGTGAATGACCTGCAGAGAGCTGGGACCAAAGTAACAAAGCCTACCATCAGTAACACACTACGCCGCCAGGGACTCAAATCCTGCAGTGCTAGACGTGTCCCCCTGCTTAAGCCAGTACATGTCCAGGCCCGTCTGAAGTTTGCTAGAAGTGCATCCAGAAGAGGATTGGGAGAATGTCATATGGTCAGATGAAACCAAAATATAACTTTTTGGTAAAAACTCAACTCGTCGTGTTTGGAGGAAAAAGAATGCTGAGTTGCATCCAAAGAACACCATACCTACTGTGAAGCATGGGAGTGAAAAAATCATACTTTGGGGCTGTTTTTCTGCAAAGGGACCAGGACGACTGATCCGTGTAAAGGAAAGAATGAATGGGGCCATGTATCGTGAGATTTTGAGTGAAAACCTCCTTCCATCAGCAAGGGCATTGAAGATGAAACGTTGCTGGGTCTTTCAGCATGACAATGATCCCAAACACACCGCCCGGGCAATGAAGGAGTGGCTTCGTAAGAAGCATTTCAAGGTCCTGGAGTCTCCAGATCTCAACCCCATAGAAAATATTTGAGGGAGTTGAAAGTCTGTGTTGCCCAGCGACAGCCCCAAAACATCACTGCTCTAGAGGAGATCTGCATGGAGGAATGGGCCAAAATACCAGCAACAGTGTGTGAAAACCTTGTGAAGACTTACAGAAAACGTTTGACCTGTGTCATTGCCAACAAAGGGTATATAACAAAGTATTGAGAAACTTTTGTTTTTGACCAAATACTTATTTTCCACCATAATTTGCAAATAAATTCATTAAAAATCCTAAAATGTGATTTTGAGGATTTTTTTTTCTCATTTTGTCTGTCATAGTTGACGTGTACCTATGATGAAAATTACAGGCCTCTCTCATCTTTTTAAGTGGGAGAACTTGCACAATTGGTGGCTGACTAAATACTTTTTTTCCCCACTGTACTACAAACACTATTATATACTGAACAAACATAAATGCTACATGCAACAATTTCAAAGAATTTACTGAGTTACAGTTCATATGACCCGAATCAGCCAATTGAAATAAATCAATTAGGCCCTAATCCATGGATCTCACGACTGGGAATACAGATATGCATCTGTTGGTCACAGATACAGTGGGGAGAACAAGTATTTGATACACTGCCGATTTTGCAGGTTTTCCTACTTACAAAGCATGTAGAGGTCTGTAATTTTTATCATAGGTATACTTCAACTGTGAGAGACGGAATCTAAAACAAAAATCCAGAAAATCACATTGTATGATTTTTAAGTAATTAATTTGCATTTTATTGCATGACATAAGTATTTGATCACCTACCAACCAGTAAGAATTCCAGCTCTCACAGGCCTATTAGTTTTTCTTTAAGAAGCCCTCCCGTTTTCCACTCATTACCTGTATTAACTGCACCTGTTTGAACTCGTTACCTGTATAAAAGACACCTGTCCACACACTCAATCAAACAGACTCCAACCTCTCCACAATGGCCAAGACCAGAGAGCTGTGTAAGGACATCAGGGATACAATTGTAGACCTGCACAAGGCTGGGATGGGCTACAGGACAACAGGCAAGCAGCTTGGTGAGAAGGCAACAACTGTTGGCGCAATTATTAGAAAATGGAAGAAGTTCAAGATGACGGTCATTCACCCTCGGTCTGGGGCTCCATGCAAGATCTCACCTCGTGGGGCATCAATGATCATGAGGAAGGTGAGGGATCAACCCAAAACTACACAGCAGGACCTGGTCAATGACCTGAAGAGAGCTGGGACCACAGTCTCAAAGAAAACCATTAGTAACACACTACGCCGTCATGGATTAAAATCCTGCAGTGCATGCAAGGTCCCCCTGCTCAAGCCAGCGCATGTCCAGGCCCGTCTGAAGTTTGCCAATGACCATCTGGATGATCCAGAGGAGGAATGGGAGAAGGTCATGTGGTCTGATGAGACAAAAATATAGCTTTTTGGTCTAAACTCCACTCGCCGTGTTTGGAGGAAGAAGAAGGATGAGTACAACCCCAAGAACACCATCCCAACCGTGAAGCATGGAGGTGGAAACATCATTCTTTGGGGATGCTTTTCTGCAAAGGGGACAGGACGACTGCACCGTATTGAGGGGAGGATGGATGGGGCCATGTATCACGATCTTGGCCAACAACCTCCTTCCCTCAGTAAGAGCATTGAAGATGGGATGTGGCTGGGTCTTCCAACATGACAACGACCCGAAACACACACCAGGGCAACTAAGGAGTGGCTCCGTAAGAAGCATCTCAAGGTCCTGGAGTGGCCTAGCCAGTCTCCAGACCTGAACCCAATAGAAAATCTTTGGAGGGAGCTGAAAGTCCGTATTGCCCAGCGACAGCCCCGAAACCTGAAGGATCTGGAGAAGGTCTGTATGGAGGAGTGGGCCAAAATCCCTGCTGCAGTGTGTGCAAACCTGGTCAAGACCTACAGGAAACATATGATCTCTGTAATTGCAAACAAAGGTTTC